AAAAAAAAAAAAAAAAAACTGTATTAGGTTAAGTAATAGAAGACATTCTTTATTGTGGGAAATGTCACAAAATATGATTTTATTTTGTTTTGGTAAATATTTTCTAGCTGTTTGGCTAGAAAAAGTTACCTGCATGCTACTGGATAAAATATTGGTCTGACCTCCATCATCCATATCCCATGTTTCTTCCTGTAATATCAAAGATATATGCATATAATATTATGGAAATAAGAGTCAAGGACAAATAAGTCATTTGACATAAAGGCTGATGAAAACCTGAACAAGCTTCTCCAAATTGTCCATAAGTGTCTTCTCTTCAAAATCCACATATACCATCAGGTGTGGTTCAAAGCAAGATGATATGATTCCACGAAAATTAAACTGCCATAACATAACAATGGAAACAAAGTCATACTTACCATCAAAATTCTAACTGGAACAATATATATTGCATAAAATACAATATAAACCCTAGTGCTTAGCCTACATATTTAGAGGGAAATTATAATCATGGGTTATATAATTCGCACTAGAATAAGGATAGATGTCTTATGTGCTGTTTGTTTTTCAGCTAATGGGAACAAAACTTAATCTGGACATATATATACTGTTGTTTCTTTTTGACTTAATATAAACAGATAGGCTTAATGGGTTAAAGTGAGAATAGGGTATCTTTATACATTAAGACCTCCCTTTGTCTATACTCTCCTTTTTTTTTCTTTTACAAATATCATCTATCTTGTTATTAAAGATAATAAATAGAAACAAGTTATTAGGATTTAAAATTATTGTTGAGGACACTCATGTAGCCAGTCACGTGGTATGAAATAAAGACAAAAATGAAAAACAAGTAATTGACAGTTCAATTTATAACGGTTGTTAATTAAACAATCGATTATTAATCAGCATAATTTCTAGACAGAAGGGTAAAATGGTCTTTTTATATAGTTAGACTGTGCATTCAGTCCAAAAAAGAAACAGTCTTTACTTATACAACACTTTACCCCTACAGCAATTGATGAGGAAAAAAAACTGCCACTTAAACAAATCTAGAAAAGAGTCTTTCTTTTTTTCTGTAACTAAACATATAAATGTAAGCCATATAAAGAAATTGCAATTGGAAAAGTCAAAACATACCCCTGCTCCAGGCACAGCTAAATCTTTATCCTGACAACAGAAAGTTCATATGTTATGAGTTACCCCAACCAGAAGCAGAAGATTTCAGGAATTTTAAAATAAATATAAAATATAAATAAACTTAAAGAAGCAATCAGCATCACTTACATCATCCTGATGTGCAGCAAGCTTTTTCTCATACTTCTTACGAATGTCTTGTACAATCTGATTATTATTATTATTATTATTACTATTATTACTTTCTGCTTTATCTTTATCTGTTTCCTCAAAGTCATTTGTTACATTTCTGGTACCACCACTACCACCAAATTTCTCTGCCAACTCTTCCTCAAATTCTATTGTCCGTTGCAATGCCTACACACATGAAAAAGTCCCGAATTTTTTTTTAAAAAAAAAGAAAAGGAAATAAATATAAGGGTCGAATAATACTACTTCAGAAATTACCATCAGTAGTGTTCCCACATCTGGCTTCTCTTTCAGGTTTTCAAGTATGTCCTCAAGTTGTGACCTAAGATTACCAATTTAGCCCCATGAGTAGGGTAGAGAATTTAATCCAGAAAAGTAATAGTATTTACCAGGATTTGTGTCATTTCAAACTCAAACATGCAAGGTGGTTTTTCAATCTCATATCAGGTATAACATAAGGTAGTAAGGGGGCGTTTGGTTTGTAGAATGTTTTTTATAAAGGAATGGAATCTATCAAAGGAACTGGAATATAACGAACCTGGTCAATTTACAGAACTGGATACAGAGCAGATAATCAACATGCCATGAAGTTGGAAAGATTTTCCATATCTCTTCATTTGTTCTTAAACGGCGTTTCACCCAAGCATATCTCCTCTCTGTTTTATCCAACTTTGCTAGCTCTGAGAAGAAGCAACAACTTTTTAGAAATGAAATAAATAAGTTTTTTTTTTTTTTTTTTATATCTGGAAAGTAGTTATAAGAAACAAACCAGCTCCTTCAAATATCTGCTGATAAGAAATAAGTTCCCTATCACAAAAGTTCTTCACTAACTCCTCCCTCACTGATGGCTCAAGTGCATCAACAACTAAACAAGCATCTGTTAAATGCTGCAACAAACTGTTTTCCTCTGTCTCTTTCCCCGTACCTAAGCTGGGATAAAAGAAAGAAGGGTAAAAATGGAAATTAGACTTGCCAAGATAAAAATAAGTTATAAAAATAACATCAAATTTACACACCTGGAGAAATCAGAATACACATGAGACTTGAGAATTTGTTTGATGTTCTTGAACTTATCTCTTAGCTCAGTGATCTTTGGGTTATCTCTGTAACCATCAAAATGACTACATAACTGGCTGACAGCCTAAAACACGAAAAATCATGTATATTAAACACCACTTCATTGAAAACAATTTAACTTAGCTGTATCATTTAAATGTGTTTGGATATTATAACTTTCATTGAATACATATTTTCGTTATTAACTTGTTAACAACTACCAATATACAAACATCTTACACACCTCTAACTGTGCAGAAGCCTCTTTATATTGTCGTTTTGAAGCCATTACTTGAAGTTGTTCGATGGCAGACACTGTCATAGTTAAAATAGGGATAATTTTTTTAATGCAATATTTAAAACATACATATTTTTTGAACAAAAAAAAAAAAGAAGACTGACCAAGCATATTAAGACGATGGAGGGCAGTGATTGTAGTTGTTATGTGTTTTTTTGCAAAATCCAGCTTTTTGATGTCACGACATATTTCCTGAACCATTGTTTCACTTTGTTCAGCTTTGGTTTTAATTTCTCTGACTTTATACATGAGTTCCTGCAATTAATGATAGCAATAGAGGCAACATAATGAGTTTGATTCATGGAAAAAAAAAAGTTTATTGATTTTTAGTATAAAAGAGACATAATTGACAACAAGATTCAACACAGACCTGAACAGCACGTGTAGCTGCAGCCAAATCCTCCTTTGCCTTTGTACCTGAATTACTCTGGATATAACAATATTCATCAATAAAGTGCTGAGTTACCCTCAAATCAATGAATGAATGACTACATTACCAAATCACACAATCATTTGAAGGGGGGATATTATAATCACCTGTTGACGGACAGCAGCTAGAATTTCTGTATCCACAACGCGTATCTCATTGTGTACTTTTTGCATCAGTGGCTCCACACCCGATAAAGATGCTTCTGCATAGTGAATGTTCCATAATGTGAAACTAAGAGAAAAGCTTACTAAAAGAAGATTCATCATAAAGATCAACATATATATATATATATATATATATATATATATATATATATATATATGTAACTTGGGGTTATTGTACAATTGGACATCAAGTAATTTTATATGATAGACATTGCTTTGTAGGTGTAGGTGTGCCTGCAAAATGATGAAGCATTCAACTTTTATAATTTCTAAACTCCTAAAGGAGTCTTAACTATTTTTATGTACATTACTGATTACTCTTTCCTAGACATATGCAGTACAATCACTCAAGGTCTAAATTGAGACCAAAGATGACTTCCATGTTCTGTTTTCATCCGCATAAACAGCTTTACTCTTCAACTGTGCAATTCATGCCACCGAGTAGGCAAGTATCTAGTTCATCCATCATTGATATCAATTTTTCTGTCTACTTGCTAAATGAAAGGGGCACTAATAAGAAAGTATAATCCAATCAAAATACAAAATTGTTAGGTGTGCAATAAGCAGTAGTTCTCTGCTGTCGGAACTTTTAAGAAGATAGTATCTCACTATGATCTGATCTTGAATCCAGAGAAAGTGAGATAAACTGACCTGTAGGGAACATCTGGTTGATGTAGTCCAAAGTACTCGACTTCTCCATTCTCTCTCTACTGAAAGCTCACCACTCCTCCAAATCTTCTTATAGCCAATACCTAATCAAACCAAAAATACTCCATACTGAAGAAATAGCTAAATTAATCATCATATCAGGTGTTAATCACTGTGAGCAACATCAAGCACAATCAGACATTACAAACATAGAGATCCGGATCACCTAATTCGCCTGGGGTGCCCGTAGATCATCGAATTCTATGGAAATATGTATAGCCAATCCCTCGAAATATTCTGAATCTCCGATGAATGAGGAGGATAACGGTAGAATAACGGCGGAATACGGTGACGCCCGGTGGCCGGTAACGGTGATAGTTAACTTGGGGTTTTTTTAGAGGATTTTGACTATTTCTTGCATTCATTCACTTCAGTCAAGAATCCTATAATGACGGTGCTCGTCTAAGTTTCAAAAAGAGCCCTAAACTGTTAAATTATGCGAATTTAACACTTGTACTTGTGTTTTATGCAACTTCTTCATGACCATTGAAAACGCAAATTTACGACTTCCGTTTGTTTTTTACTAAGGTATGCCGAAAATTTATAAGTATGTTATTAGTATATAACTAGAATTTTATCCGCCGCGCGTTGCGGCGGCAATAATGGATTTAAAAAAGGAAACCTTTCAGTAGAAAAATAGAAACTTCGGAGGACTTAAGTTGCGAAAATCACTAAAATCAGGGACCAAAACCATGTATAAAAACTTAGGAGGACGTAAGTTGCCAAAACATAAAAGTCAGGGAACAAATCCATGTCAAGCAAAATGTTTAAAAGTAAGTAAAAAATATTTACATCAAAACGTAAACAAACTCGAAGCACCAAAACATAAAAAACAATTACGTCGAAACAAAGACAAACTGAAATTTATACCAATATGTACATAAAAAAGCAAGTAATTTCAAAAAAAAAATTAACGGAAAAATTTTCTAAATCTACGTCAAAACGTGGTCCACCTCGAATTTATACCGATACATACATAAAAATAACGCATATTAAATTAGTTTTTTTTAAATAAATTAACAAATTTTACAAACTTAAAATTCGAAGGGTTTAAAATTACATTTAACAAAGTAGAATGGAGGGGATTAAAGTTATATTCAAAAAATTTCAAAGTTTAGGGGGTGAAAGCGACATTTTAAAAAGTAAAATAAATTAAGGGTAAAAACATCATTTTGAAAAGTATAGGGAACGAAATGTCCATTGTCAAAATAAAGGGATGGGATATGTACATAAATTCAAAGTATAGGGACTGAGAATGGAAAATTAAAAAAAGTTGAAGGGAGAAAAAGAAAAGAAAGTGACCACCGACTTTTGCATTTAGAAGATATATAATTGTGTAGCACCCGATTCCTGGTACATATTTAAATGCAAGAATTTCATGTATTTCCCCTGGGACTCGACGAGTTGGCGGCCCAACTCGTCGAGTAGAGTCGTGTTTCGCGGGAAGTTTAAGTGGCCTACCCGACGAGTCGGGAGACCGACTCGAGGAGTGTGTGTTGTTTGAGTGAAACCCTAAATTTGAGGGTTTGCACCCTATTTAAACAACTTATCTCAGCCTCCATCGTCCCTTATACTCCCAGATTACATCATATCGAAACCCTAGCCTTGTTTGAGTATTCTAAGGCCATTTTGGTGCATTTTGGTGGATTGTGAAGCTTGAGAAGGGGAAAGGATCTTGGGAGTTCAAGTTGGAGCTTGGAGATCCAGAGATTGTGTTCCATTTCCAGCTCATTTGAGGTAAAAAGCTCTTGCCTTGATCTTCCATGTGTTTATACATCTTTAGGGCTTGGATTTTGGGCATATTTAGGGCTTTCTAAGCCATTTTCGGGTTGGGAAGTGTATAGGGAGTATTGACTTCAGATCTTGGTCATTAAAGGGGTCTCATGGCATAAAGGTGCCAACTTTATGGCCATGAGAGCCCCATGCATCTTTTAGACATCATTTGTAGTCCTTTAGGGCTAAAAGACCCATGCATGGACGTAAAGTTCGTGGTTTTACGTGCTATATCAGCCCTAAGAGGTCAGGTCTACCCTTTGGATGAGATGAGCTTGACAGAAATCGAGTTTATGGACATGGACTTTAGTGGACTCGGCTAGTTGTTCTTGGTACTCGACGAGTCGGATAGTGGGTCTCCAACCCTTGCTGTTTTGGGGGTCTGGTTGAGTCTAGAGAAGGACTCAACAAAGATGGACGAGATTATAGACC